TATGTTACACATCCTTTGGGATTTGTTGAGGTCATAATTTTTATGATTTTTCCATGAATGTTTGAGAAAAATATGTTCTATTGTTAGGTACAGTGACTTTTATGTAAGTATTAAATCAATTTTGTTCAATTTTTTATTCTTTTAATTTTGCATATTTGACCTACCATTTACTAGATGTGTGCTGAAATCTCCCACTCTGATAATTGAATTGTCAATTTATTTTTATAATTCAATGTTTGCTTTATATAATAGTCCAATGCTGTTTATTAAATACACACAAGTTTGGGGTAGATATGATTTCATATAGAATTAAAACTTTTATCATTACAGAGAAACTTTCTGTATTACTAACAATGTTTTTTGCCCTATTGTTTGTTTTTATTTGATATTGATATAGTTATCCTGTCTTCTTTGGGTTAGTATTTGCACGGTATACCTTTTTCCATCCTTTTATCCTTAACCTTCCTGTATTTTTGTTTTAGATATATCTCTCTTGCAAACTGCAGGTAGTTAATTTTTTATCCATTTGAAAAGTCAAATGGATATGTATGGGTATCGGTTTTCTTTTATTTATCCTGCTTGAGGTATGTCATACTTATTAAATCTAATACTAATATCTTTCATAAATTCTGAGAAATTTTTAGCTATTGTAGTTTTTGAAATATGGCACTCCCTCATTTCTCATTCTAGAAATCCAATTAAAATATTTTTACTCTATTCTCTATGCCTCTTAACCTATCTTCTATCCTCATTTCATTATTTGTTCAGGTCTTTTGGTTCACTGGTCCTCTGATCATCTGTGTCTAATATATTGTTTCACTTAATTCACTGAGTTATTTTTCAAATCTATCTGGTCTCTTTTGAATATTATATATTGTTCAGTGTTTGATTCCATTTTTATTTCTTTAAACATTTTATACATAGTTATTTTGTGTTATGTATCTCATAAAGACATTGTTTGAAGCTCAGTATATTATTTGATATTTCTGCTTATTCTCAGTTATTATGTTTTGTTTTCTCATGTGTTTGGTAATTGGACGCTTATATTAGGCTAATAGTAATCAAGGGGAATCCTGACAGCCATAAGATGATGTTTTTCTCCAGAGCAAATTTATGTTTACTTCTCCTTATGCCAAGGGTGGTCTTCATTTGGGACCACTTAACTTCTTTAGATTTCCTCGTACTCTGTAGATGTGAATAGGATAAATTCCATTCCAAGATCCTATGATACAGGAGAGAAATATTTTCTACCCAGAGCTAAGATGGAGATAGACAAGTTAACCTCCTGTCTCCCTTTAAGGGCAGAGGTAATTTTTCTACCCATCTACTCACAAGGATGGCCCCCTTTATGTAAGGTCTCAATTCAGCTGCCTACACTGCTCGAACCCAACATCTACTCACCTTTATTCTTTTTGCTAGAGAATTGGTATCCTCATTTGATCCTGAGGCAGCCTGTTTCCACATTTGCTTACTATTCTGCTGTCAGCAGCTAGTTAGGTTTCTGTTGTTATGGGGCAAGGTCGGGTGGTGGGGATGGGAAAAGAAAAGTTTGGGAGTATACTTGGACATTTCCCTTAGTTTCTCAGGATCTCAACAATGCATTTAAAAGTGTGTTTGTTGTGATTTATCTGGCCTCTGCAGCAGGAGCGTTTTTCAGAAATATTGTCTGCCACAGAGCAGGAAATGAAAGTTTCAGTGGGATTTCCAACTTCAACCAGACGTTTTGCAAAAGAATCCTTGACCCTCAAAATGTTAGGTCCTTGTTGAGCAGAGAGCCCCAACTCAAATTTCTCCTTTTCCCACTATAAAGTCCCCATTAGGGTCTCTGAGAGTCATTTCTTAAAAATAGCCTCTTTTCAGCGCTGTCTCAACCCCAATGCCCCAACTGGATTCTTTAACCTGAGTGGTTTTGAGCACAAACTCTGGAAAAGGCTGCCTTGGTTTGAGCCTCAGCTATGCTTACTTGTTAGTGATGGCACTCTGGTCAAGTTACTTCAACTCCGACTCAGTTTACCCATCTGTAAAATGGAGATAATAATAAAACTTACAGATTGCCGCTCATGCCACGAGAAATCAGCACAAAATACAGAACTTCCATTATTGATTCAGGAGTTCAAGTGACACATGATCTGATTCCTCATAAACTTTGTCCTCAACACATTTTAATGAATTTACATTTCACTGCATCTATCTACTTTACAGAAAGAAATAGAGGCAAATAGAAATCAGGCATACTAGTGTACACAACTCAAGTCAGGATCAGTCCCAGGACTGGACTACTGGAGATCCCAAGCAGTATTTCAGATTATTTCTGGGATCTCAGGGAAGATTACAACATGACAGGACTGAGGGCCTACTAGTATCTTGCACATCAAGTGGAGTAACTATAGAAGGCCAGACTCCCTTTAATTCATAATGAGAAAACTGAAGCCCAAAGAGTTTGATCAGCTAGTTCAAGGCCTGTCAGTTACCGGCAAAACTAGGACTGAACTCAGGACTTGTGTATGACCCTCTGCTGCATCCTTCAGTTGTCCACAATGGCAAATTCTTCAACTTCTCCTCTTTTGTTCATTAGGCACTACATACCTAACCCATTTGATGAGAAAAAAATTTGATATATATTACTATAAATTTTGTTCTGATTTTATACAACTGTTTCTATATCATCATAATTAGTTTCCAAAATTAATTTGTTTTCACTGGAGTATTTCATATTTCCATGTAGCTACTAACTATGCTTGTTAAATTATTTAGGATTGCTCTAGTTGCAATATGTATAAGTCCACTTAAGGATTGTTTTTGCATTTTTATTAATTGCTTTCGAGATGTACAATCTGTACATATGTCCTGAAAATGTTTTAATTTCCTTGGAATAGTCACCATGTTGGTTAAATTTGTATAAGGCAATAAACTGCTGCTTATTATTTTGTAGATGTGGGATTATGGTTTGTGTACTGAAATTGACATAACTGCTTTTTGTAATAGAATGCTAAATACTTTGAGAATGGATCTTGGATATCTTTATAGGAGAATTATGTGCTTTCAATGTACATGAGGGCAGTGGTTGTAGGATTAACATTCTTTTCCACAATATATTATCTTGGAAGGTTCTTGTTAATATGTAATACTTAATATCTCCACAATTAACTTCAGAGAGAATTTATAAAAAGTTAACTTCTTATACAGAGGTTTAAATTAGGCTGTGATTTGATCAAGTCTTTTTAGCATTCGACCTCAAAGGGACACTGTTAGTATGCCTAAAATTTATTTTCCTTTTTTATTTGAAAAAATACATGAATATAATTTTTTATTCTTGAATTTCTCAGATTTTAAAGTATATTAAAAAAAATTAATGTCTCGGCTAGCATTCTTGCAGCAACTCAATACTAACATGAAACTGGGGGAGGGTGGGGCAGATGAGTAGAGAAATAGATTCATCTCTCAAGCTTCCAAAGCAATTTTATAAATGGAAAATACTTAAATTATGAAACAGCTTGATATAGTGTCAAGGTCGAAAACTTTTTTTTTTATTGATAATTAAAATTGTTGTTTAAATATTTGAACTTAATCTAGAAGAGAGACATATAATAAAACATAAGACATATTATAATGCTATGCTGCACTACTTAAGATTATTGGCAAATTATTTGATAGATTGTTCTTATTACAGAGAATGATTGTGAGTGTGGAATAAATACTGGATTAAATCCTTTAAAAAAAGAAGAAACCATTTATGAAAAGATATTTGAAAAACAGAAGATGGGGAAATTTTGAAGAAGATGCTTCTAAAAATGATGCTAAAGAACGTGGCCTCAAAAGAGTCTAAAGAAGGCAGTTCTGAAAGTCTGAAGAGAATGGTCTCGAAAGAGAACCTAAAAAGAAGAAACTCAAAAAAGATTAAGAAGATAATGGCTTTGTAAAAGGTCTGAAAGTGACCCTGAAAAGGAATCAGACCAAAAAGGTCTGAGAATGTCTTGGAGGAAAGAGAACCTGAAGACTGCTCTGAAAAAAAAAAAAGTTTGAAGGTGGCTCCAAAAATTAATTGGAAGAAAATGGTGTTGAAAAAGTTAGGAGACAATGACTGAAAAATTAGAATTTGAAGAAGATGGTCCTGAGAGAATGCTGAGGAAAGCTCTGAGAGTGAGAAGGTTCAGGTGAAAGGGCAGAAGATGCATATGAAAAACCATCTGTTGATGCATCAGATGGAAAGAAGAGGAAGAAAATAGATAAGCAGCTAGATAAGGGTTTGATGATGCTGAGGAAGAAGAGAAAGATGTTGTAGGTGAAAAGTGCTTCAAAAATGAGAATTCTAACAAGATGGTGTTTGATGAAGAGGATCCAGTTAGAAGTATAGGCCGAGTCTGATGTGAAGGGGCCTGTGGGGTGTTGGGAATAAGGAAGAAGGGCCCCTTTACTCAGCAGTTACGAGGAGGAGGAGGGAAGATGAAGGAGGAGATTTAATCTCAAACTTGTTTTTAGGGAGACACCTCCATCCATCCACGCCTCTGCTGTGCAGTAATTAGTAGTGTTACATGAACACATGCATAGTGATAGGACGGCATCAGACTACTGTTTGGAAATTTTCATTGTAATCGGCACTCAATGATTTTAAATATATTTTAAGTGGCTGTTCAATTAAAACTTTGTAGTCATAATGCAGGTAAAAAAAAAAAATGGAAGAAATAAGTCCAAATACAGCAGTAAAACACTAGCTATGAAAAGATTAAACTTTCCTATGAAAAAGCAGAAACTCTCAAGTTATGAAATCAAACAAAACACAAAACTAACAAATCCAGCTTCATGTGAAGAGAACTACCTGAAAATAACATTACCCATGAAGACTGAACATCGAGAAATGGAAAGAAATTAGAAAAGAAAGCCTAGGTGAAAAATATTAGTCAGAATGAATTCAGTGCAACCAGCTGATTGCTGACATATTGGATCTGGCTGTGTAAAACTCTGAAGACATTCACACACATCATTAAATAAATCCAGTTAACTTTGTTGTAATTTCATTTTATTACAGCACCATCTCTTTGCGTGTGCTTGCATGTCTTATGACGTGTACATGGAACAAAGTGTTACTCTCCAAAGTACCAAGGGGGTGTGCAGTGGATGGGCTCTTCTTTCCAGATAGTTTTCAGCCTCTGGGCCCAGGATGCCACCATCCTCTTTCTTTCTTCTTCTGATGCAAACTCAGGAGCAAAACTGATCTGAGGGGCAAGGACTTTAAATCCACAGAAGTGCAATGCACCATGCTATAGCCAGAAAGAAAGAAAATAAATGATTAGAAGCCACGCTCTTTACCTATCATTCAGTTAAATAATTAAAGGGGGAAATGGTATGAAATAAACCTTTAAAAAATAACTGAACAACGTTAATGCTACTGGGTAACTGAAAACAACTGAAGGGCCCTATACTCTTAGGATGCTGGCCATTACAAGTGAAGTAAAGAACTCTGGGTGGCTGGAAGTTCCCCGTTCTGATTCTTGAGATTAATCTGTAATCTTTGCTACTGATTCAGACACTATACTTTATGGTTTTGATTGATTAGGCAAATTATGGTACATTCATAAAATAGGTTATTCTAGAATGAGATCATTCTAGCTAAAAAATGCCACCATGGAAGGCTGTTCAAAATACATGTGAAATGAAAACAAGAAATATGAAGCTATATTTATGGCATAGCACTTATGTAAAAAAATAAACATAATATACCTAATAATAAAAAATATATATGTAAGAATTTATATGAGCCATAAGAAAATACATCAAATCATTAAAAGTGATTATTTTTAAGGTACGATTAGGAGGACTGAGTTTCTATTTTTATATTTTACAATCTCACTTTTTTCTATAACACGTACTTTTGCAAACTGAAAAAATATAAAGATTTTTAAAAACAAGAATTTAAACTTGGCAAATGGCATGTAAGAAATTGGATGGCCTGTGGAGAAAGAAGTTCAGGCTTGTAACATCATTTCCTTTAGCAGAGCATCACTAAATGGAATCTCTGTCTCATCTCCTTTCAAAGAAGACCACTTATTTTCTAGAACTATCACTCTCCTCCCTCTGTATTCCTTCCCTTAAAACCCACATCCTTGTCTAGGCCTGCTCTACCAGGGGTTGGTCGGAGGGCAAGAGGCCCACATACCGCTGTCTACATTTTAAAAGAGCTCTCACAAACTGTTAAATATGTGATCTCCTCCCTCCGCAAACATCCCTTCTTAACTACTTGGAAGAACAGTCCCCATCTCAGTCTGGGCCTCCCTGGAGTTCTGTACTAAGATGTGGTGGCCTGACCCTTTTCTCCCTAACCACAAGCTGCTTGAACACGCCTTGCCCACTACTTTCTCCTTTGCAGAGAGCCATCCTCCGCCAACCCTCGGGCCTAGGGGTACATACACAGACAACCTGGCCTCCGCCTGGGAGCACGAGCCCTGAGTCCTCAAAACCTGGAGTGGGGGTCTCTGGGGAGGAGGCACAGCCCCTGGCTCCATGGACCTCGCCTGTGGGGGGTTCGTGAGGCTCTCGAGAATGCCTGACCCAGGGCACCTCTCACCAGGGTTTGAGAACGATGTCGCCTTCAAGAGACACGGTCTGTGGAGGTCGCCACACCTCTGCCAGTGCTCAGTGCCTGCACAGGGCCACGTGGGACGATTCTGTTTACCACGCATGGAGCGGGCTTTGGCTAACCAGGTTTGGCTTAGCTTCCACCCAGACAATACCAAAGGCTATCATTATAATACGTGTTGTCCTTATTGGCCAACCTTTGCAGTACTGCTAAGTAAAAAAGTAAAAAGGGTAAATTGTTATAATTTTCTGTATCCAGGTAGAGTCAAAATGGTCTGAATTTCAGGCTTCTAGAACATCTCTGGGGGAGCTGTGGGAGACCGACGGGTAAGGGTGGGGGTGCAATGGGTACCTGGAGGGGCCACAGGAAGTACTTAAAATGTCCACTGACTCCAGTTTTTGTGTACATCTCTGCCGTGCCCCCAGTGGTTACTGAAAGAAGGGCCAATTTATCCTGCGGAAGGAAAAGCAAATGTGTTTGCATGGATTCCAGAGGTAGAGACAAACAAATGCTACTGTGACTCCAGCACAAAGCCTTATAATGACTAAAAGGGAAAATCTGAGGTCAGTTCCCTCCAGGGATGGACAAATATAACATTCCCATTTCTAGGAAGCCCAGCAATAGGTGACAAGTACATCCAATGGGAAGAGGGGAGGAAACAATCAGAAAAAGTGTACTGAGCAACCCCAGAGCTCAGATCTGTGCCAGCTTCTGGTAGACAGGGGACTTCAGTCATGTGGGGTGAGAAGAGCTAAAGTCAGAGGCGCTGACCTGGGTGTCTGTGAGGGCTGCAAGAGGCGATGAATGGTGTGGGCACATGGCACTCGCTAAATGATGGCATTACTTATGGTCAAAGCCAGATCTTTGTGACTCAGCGTTTTCCTTATTCGTACTGTTTTCTGAAGCTTTTAGAATTTTTAAAAATCACGTATTTTAGTAAGAAATTCATATCTACCATGTATTTGGTATGTAGCAGCTTCTATACAATCCTCACCCTATATGTAGGTGTCATATTATCTTTTCAATGGGAATGGGAAGCACTGAGAGGTGAACTGGTGTGAGGCTAGAGCTCTATTTTGCCTCTCGGAGCCAGGGCTGACCACGTATGGCCCACTTCACTCTCCCCTGACACCATCCCTAGGCCTTTTGGCCATGCATGTAGTTAGCTGTGGATGTGTCTGTATCCCTCACTAGACAAAGCTCCATGACTTCAAGACAATGCTTTTCTCATTATGTACAGCACACAGGGCTTTCTTTGCACATAGTTGATGCTCAATTGATATTTATATTTATTTATTTTCCCCTCTTTAATCCCCCCTCCTGCCCTTACACAGTATTTATTTTTTAAAAAACAAACCAGAAATATAACTTAATGAGATGCCCCCTTCCCTCCCCTATAGTGATCCTTATCCCAAAGCACATACCTTGAGAAAACCGGAATCATAGAATCCTGGGATGTCGAAGGCAAACCCCTGGCACAGCACCCTGTCCATCCAGCCCTTTAGGATGGCTGGCACACTAAACCAGTACAGTGGGAACTGGAGACAACACCAAGGACAAAAAATGAGGCAGTTCTCTCAGATTTAGTAGTTTTTTAGTCTATCTGGTGACTCAGAAGGAATCCCACTCTCCTTCTCTTCCCAGGTGACTGGGCAGGAATGTAACCCACATGGCAGCATGAATAAGGATACTTCATCCCTTTCACTCTGAGGCATGCAATGTGGACATAGGATGGTGGGATGGAGTGAGGCAGAGCTGACAATGGTCCTGGTTGCTGTTACAGGTTGTTCATCATCCCCCAGTGACAGCCCCCTAATGCTGGTCCCTGAGTAGGCAGGGAGGCACTGGGAAGCTCTGCTGGCTCTGTGGCAGCAGTCTCTGTGATGGATCCTATCAAAGGGACAAGAGGAAAGGTGTAGAAAAGTGTCTGCCTGGGGGGTGAGTTGCTGGCATCTGGGAGTCGGACTGAGTTAGGTTCTGAGAAGACACAAACTAAAGCCTTATCTTCAGATTCCATACACCAGCAGTAAGACTTACCTGAAGTTCCCTCGGTTCTCATAGGAGCCTTCACACTACATGCAACAATGTCATCAATGAAGAGAGATGGACACAGACACTAATCTGCTACCAAAGGTGAAAGAAGTCCATGTTTTGTGTGCTTTCACAAAGGACTTGGCATTGAAATCCAAGCTCCACAACCTATTGCTGTGTGATATTTGACAAGTTTCTTAACTTCTCTGTCCCTCCTCCTCCTCATCTGCAAATAGGGCTACTACTAGTTGCTAGCTCATAGCATTGTGGTGAGGATTCAGCGACACATCATAGTGCCCAGAACAGAGTAATTGCTCAGTGAATGGTGAGCTATGATAACAATAGTAGTAGTAGTGCTGAATGAAAAAAATAAACTAACGATGCAGACTCTCTATGCAAATTATCAAGAAGAGGGAAGGCAGGAAGAAGAGATGTGAAATGGGGTAGGAAAAAAGAAAATCCACTGTAAAAAGAACAGGTCTTAGCTTGCTTTAGCTACCCAGTTACATGAGTGGTCAGCTGACCCCAGGGAAACAGGAAGAGAAGAGCGAGAGAGCTGAGCATGGTTCTAAGGCCAGTCTTGATATAGCCCCATCATCCTGGTGCCAGGAAGAGGTGGTCTTGTTCTCCTGAACACTCCCAGCTGTCAAGCAGAGCTGGGAAAGAGACAACCTGGACCAATCAGATAGATCTTGGAGATTCTAGGTCTAGAGACGCCAGTCCTTGGTGTACAGCAAGAGAAGAACAGAGCCAGCATGTGGAGAAAAGAAAATAAGACCCAGAGAAAGAAAGAGCAGACGTGTCCAAGCCTCTGTTTCCACTCTCCCTTGCCATGGTCTGTCCTTGGGTTCCAGAAGACCTAAGTGACGAGGGCCCTTAGAATAAATTCCCCTTTGTTCTAGTTTGACTTGGATTTCAATGACTCCCGAAAAGTACTTGCTTATTTTGCTGCCAGGCTATGGTCATACCCATGACTGCAAGTCTGTCTAGCTGTGCCGGGGAGAGGCCTGGGTGAGTTAGAGCCCTTACAAGCAGTGTCCTGGGCCAGTTCTTTCTGCAGAGAATCCACGGCGCTGAGACAATTTGTGAATGAATACAAGAATAGTGAGCAGGTGAGGCAACAAGTGATAGGCAGAAAACAAAAGATTTTCCTCTTAATGATCAGGATATTTAATGATCAGGAACTGATCATTAAAGATCAGTTCCTGATATTTAATGATCAGGAACTGATCAAAAGATTTTCCTCTTAATGATCAGGAACTGCACTTGATTAAAAATCTCTGATAAACACTGGTGTAGACAAATCTGGTTTTCATGCAGCCTGTGCCTGTCTGGGGGTGGGGATCCAAAGGGAATAAAAGCAACATGATATGTATGATTCAGATGTTTCTTGAACCACTGGGCTAAAGGGAAAATCATTCTTATTTACTTGCAAGTCAGGATTTTGAATGAGTGATACTGGCTACATACATCTCTTTACCCAACTAGACATAAATAAGTGTGCAAATATGCTAAAAACATCAATAACACTTCAAGGAGCATAAAACTCAGTTTTTAGAAAGAGTTTTTACTTAGAATGAATCTAATTATAGTAATTAGAGGAAAAACAAACCTGAAAAATCACTAGATCAGCCTCTTGAACCTTTTTCTGCTCGTCAATTATGTCACTGGTCAAAGACCTCTTCTTGCAGGCTTCATATGCTTCCACTCCATAATTGAAGAACTCAGGATTAGAGAGAGCACCTGGAGAGGAAGAAGCCAAATGTTCTCATTCTTACGGGAGCATCCACGGCCCATCTCAGCCAATCCCAATACTGTTATTGTTATTTGGACACTCCAAAGCAAGTTACCAGACATAGTGAGGTCAGGCTACGGAAATAAAAAGAGAGGAATCTACGGTCCTACCTTCAAGGGACCCAAAGTCCAGTAGGAGAAGTAGATAAATAACCAATGATTAACATACAAAACAGGATGGGTCAGCTGGCTCAGTCTAATGTTGAGGCCAGATCAGCCTCCACAATCAAGATGTATGTGTTCTAACCCTGGAGTGTGTATTAAATATAGCAGTGGTCCAAAGGGGCAATGATCAGCTCTGTTTTGGTGAGTTAACAAACACATCCTTGGGGATGAGCTTTCTGAACTGGGTTTTGAAGATGGAGCAGGAGTTCACCAGGCAGCCTGGAACACTAGAGGGAAGTGGAAGGGCATTCTGAGCCAAAGACAGGGCAGTGTGTCTGACAAGCTGGCTAGCCCAGAAAACACCACCAGGAGTGCATCTGAGGAGCTGGGGTGAAAGGCCAGGAGGGATGCAGGTGATACAGCAGCAGAGATGGGCCAGGTCTTGAGAGCCTTGCTCAGGAGCTAGACCTTTTCCTGTACATGGGGAGCCATACAGTTTAAGTAGGATAAATAAATTCATTGATTTAGGTTTGAAAAAGCTCACTATAGTAGCAACGATTCAAGAGCAAATCTGAGTGGGAGGTGAAGTCAGGTGGCAGCACTGGGTGGGAGGAAGTGTTTCGGGTATAGAATTTACAACAGCACTATCTACAGCAACTAAAATGAAAGATGTTATCGTGATCTACACCTTTAGTGAGGTTCTTCTCAACCAAAATGATTCATCAGAAGGCATTAATTAGCATTAAAAACAGGTTACCATTTATTGAGCACTTCCTACTTATCAGGTGCTGTGCTCTACACACATTTTCTCTATCTTCACAAGAACTGATGAGATGAGTATAATTCCCAATCTACCAAAGAGGAAACTGAGACTTAAGAGGCTCAGTGACTAGTTAAATGCCATGGAGTCTTAAGTGGCAGGAAAGGTGGGAGGACTGAGGTTCAGGTGTGAATGACTCCACACTCAGGGTCTGAGGAGGAGCAGGCAAACTCCAGGCCACTTGAGAAGAGCTAAAAGGAGAACTGAACTGGTAGTCCTTCGATAGATGCATAATTTTAAGACATTTCAGTGTTCTTTGCTTCTTCTTTTAACCTACCTATATTTCATTTTCATTCAAAATACATATATAGAGTGCCTTCCTTACATAAGGTTCAGTTTTGACAGGAAACCCTGAGAGTAACTGCTGTAGGCAAGAGGTTATGTTCTCACAGGGAGGTTATCAGGTAAGGTTTTGGCCATTCCCAGTCCATAAGACCTCTAGCAGACACTGGGAATGGTTTAATAATCGAATAGACGAGAGACAGATTAGCAAGAGAAAATAATAAAATGTAATACACACATACATATGGGAACCCTGAACACATGAGAATCAGAGACCCCACATGCATGAAAAGTTCAGAGACATATAAGACATTGTGAGCTAGGGATGAAGGAAGGTGCCTTGGGGGCTTCAAAGGGTCATTGCAAGATGATAGAAAAGTAGTTGTTTAATAAATAGAAGTTTGCCCTGTCTTATAGATAGGTAAAAGAGGTTATCTCTAATCTCTTATTTTGGGCAAGTCCCCTAATTCAAGTTCTTTTAGGTAGTTAAGGGAGGGGCAGAAGTTTCTCTTGAGCCCAAAGCTAAAGTTGCCTTTAGCTCAAAACAATCCACATACCATGAAGACACAGCCTGGGGTGACTTGTTCTGAATGCCCACAATGGTAAACAGAGACAATAAAATGTTCATGAGCCAAATATATTCTAGAAAACAATTTAAAATAAATATTGAAAGGGAGCAGAGTTTGCCACCCCAAAATATACCTCTTTGGAGATCTTATTTTAGGCTGGTTAATTTTAAGAAACAGCAAACATGGGATAAGCTCTGAGAGCTAAGCAGAAGTTACCCTTTGTAATCAGTGGGTAAAACAGGGGCACTGTAATAAATCTAACTGAAAGTAACCTCACAGGGTGATCTGATCATTCTTCCTAACTGGGCAGGTCATGCACAGTCATGCTTGAAGCCTATCAACTCCTGTAGTACAAGGTTATCTTTGCCTCAAGCAAGGCCTAACCATTGCTCTCCGTGTTTAGGTTCACAGAAATAATCTTTGCCCTGGAAGCCTTAACCACCCTCAAGGGAGCACATAATCTTGTTAAGGATCCTGTACCTCACTTTATTCCACCTTGATGTACTCTTCCTTACATTCTCTCTTTATTCCAAATGTATAAAAGAAACTGTCATCCTCCTGAGCATTTGAGATATTACTTCCCCGCAATGTCGTCAAGTTTTGGGTCAAACTCTTGTAAAAATTCTCTACAGGTTTGGACATTTTTACATTGAAAGTAATAGGACACTTATATGTGTAAGGGAAATCTCCCTTTGTAAGTGTTTCCCTCATTATACTAGGATGAGAAGGATATCTAAATCTCTGAAAACCTTTATCCATGGAGAAGGCTTGAACTTAAGTCTGTACAATCCTATCCTTGTTTACTGTGCTTTTCCTGGTAACCTCCCATTAAGGACTCCCCACCACCAAAATCAATATTTATCTTTAGCTAAAGGTGGTATTTAGGATAATAGCTTCTGACATTTTGGAGAGTTACTGAGATTTCCTGAATCTTTCTCATGTATATAGGACATCTACATGTTATTGAAGTTTAATTTTGTTTTTCTCCTGATAATTTGTCTCATGTCAATTTGATTAGTAGATCAGCTAGAAGAACCTAGAAGGGTAAGGGAAAAATTTCCCTCCTTGACAATATCAAAAGAAAAGGTATCCAAGTATCACAGGAAAATAAAAATATTTTTACAAATGTGGGTATGGAGAGTCCTTTCTAAGCAAGACAGGAAATCTAGAACCATAAAAGACTGACACATGGCTTGAAATAAAAATTGGAAACAACATAAATAGAAATCAACAGTGAGACTGGTAAGTTGCAATATATACCATGGAATGCTATATCATCTTTAAAAAGACTTCTGAAAGATATGTAAATAAATGAAATGCCATGACAGTGGTCCCGTAGATGAAAAAGGGGCCACACATTAAACCTGACATGCTCAGGGGAGGCCAGCAGGGTGGTCCCTATTGTGCGGGCTGGAAAATTACTGCTTGGCTATCACCCATGGGAACATAGGCTATCACCCATGGGAACATAACATTCTAACAATAAGCTTTTTGCTTCTGTACCCCCGCTTGCACAACCGACCTGTGGGTTGACAGGTAGTGAATAAGAGAAAAATAGACCTTTGTGTTTAAGACAGAATGAGGAATGGGATTTAGGGCTTAAAAACCCTGTACCTCTACATTTTGGGGCTGCTTAATTTGGGGTCTGCGTACCGCTGGCAGACCCAGCTAGCTGAATAAAGAGCGTGTTTCCTATAACTCACTGATTTCTGGTGGTCTGTGTGTCTTTCGGGGGCTGGCGGTTACAACATTTGGAGGCCCCAGCGAGATCTCACAGAGTGGCCCTGGGATCTAAGACCGGACCGGCCTCCGAAGTGATTGCTGTCCCTGTTACGGATTCAAAGGGGTGGCCACCCTGAAACGTTCCAGGGCCCTTGAATGCTGTGAATACGGGTCAGTACAATCGTCAAGGACGCGACTTTTAGGACACGCTCTTTGTTTCTGGTCCCGATGGGAATCTGGAATCTGGAATCTCAGAGCACAGGCCTCAGTGTCTGGATAAAAGGTACCTTCCTGTTTCTGTTGACAGGTCAGTGGGGGTCCGTGGAGAGAATGGACGCAGTCATATCTCCCGGACCATGGCCAGGCCGCGGGACGCCGCCTCCTGTGCCCTGTTGTCGGGTTCTGTTTATTGTCTCTGGTCATGTCTAGGTTGTAGGTGGCGGACTTCTCTGGGTCCACCTACACCCCAGTAATTGTTCTTGTCTGAGTGTCTGTTTTCTGTTTTCTGCGCAAGCAATAGGGGGAAGCCTGAGTTCACAGAAGACACCTTTGGGTTGTCTCCTGCGACATTTCAAAGAAGGGTTTGTAGAAGGAGCTGACTATGGCATAAAATTTTCTCCGGACAGACTAAAAACATTGTGTAAAGTTGTGACTGTCTTTTGATGTTAACTAGTCTCCGGAGGGTTCTTTTGACAGGGGTTTAGTGAGGAATGTTTGGAAGATTGTCATGGGAGACCCAGGATATCCCGATCAGTTTCCCTATATCAATCAATGGTTAAACCTTGTTCAGACACCCCCTCCTTGGCTCTCCCGGTGTGCCCTTTCTCTAGGGGCGTGAGTCTTAGTTGTGGGACCCC